AAAAAAAAAAAAAAAAAAAACACATGGTACAATAAATACTATCTCAGCTTCGCATCGAAGCTAAAATATATATAATTTTCTTTATTATTAGAGTATGACACATAGATTATTTATAAGAAATTCGTTTTTTAATGGTGTATTTTTGATAGAAATACAATTTTTTCAAATCAATAAATGTTTAAGACATTAGTTTATAAATAATTTTTATATTCTTATTTATATTTGATAAATTTAAAAATTAGTGAATTTCAAACAAAAATATTTACAACATAATAAAAACCCTTTTTTGGGACATGCACTCACACACAAAATGATAATTTCATAATAACTCAAAAACTNCAATTTTTTCAAATCAATAAATGTTTAAGACATTAGTTTATAAATAATTTTTATATTCTTATTTATATGTGATAAATTTAAAAATTAGTGAATTTCAAACAAAAATATTTACAACATAATAAAAACCCTTTTTTGGGACATGCATTCACACACAAAATGATAATTTCATAATAACTCAAAAACTGTTCTTCTTTTGTCATTTTTTATCTCATTTTCAAAGTAGGCACAAGACTACAAAAATAATGACTATTAGATGTTATAGGTCACCAAATTATTTTTTATTTGTTAACTAGTGTAATTATTAAGAGTTATCAATAGTAACTATAAATCAACTAATATTTTTTTAGCTTATCAAAGAAGAGCAAGAATTACAAACGTTAACACAATCATTAGCTAAATAAATTTGTATATAATCCTTTTAAGATATGTGATTTATAAAATATTAAATATATTAGCTTATTGTAATTTTTTAATGTGAATCTTTAATTATTATTTTTTATTTAATGTTATGTGTATATAAAAATTAAATTATTATTAATTCTTTGTACTTAAATGTGAGTTAAATAATGAATAACTATAGTTAATATATTTATCTATGCATTTAAAAATTAAATATTCTGTATTTTTTTATAAAATTTTAAGTTACTCTTTTTTTATTTTGTATTGAGTCTAATTATATATAGTTATTGTTTTAAAACTTTAAAACTTGTAACTTCTTACTTTTTATAATTGGACACATTTTTTCTTATCTCAAATGTATAGACATATCTGTCTCAAGTACTCTTGAGGCTTTTAGTGAATTTCTTGTTATTAAACTTTTATTTTGCAGTTGAAGTTTTTTAAGTTTAACTTTAAGGAAGTTGAAAAACTATGTTTTACATATTAAGAACCTAAGTATTTGAAAATATCTTTAGTTTTTGTCAGTAAAATATTACTATAACATAGACAAATTAATGTAAAAATTTAGAATCAACATAGTCGAAATGGTTAAATATTATTATAAAACTTTTTAGAAAAGAGCATCCTTTAAATAAATTTTATTCTTGTTTATCTATGTGATTTTGGAAATTTTTCAGTTATAGTGATATTATCTTTGCTTTTTGAACGTTAAATTACAGTAATAGTTTTATCAATAAAAAAAATTAATGTAATAATCGAAATAATATTTTTGATTCCTTTAAATTCTAATCAAATTATTGACATTTTTAATGATTTGAACAATTAACAGTCTTATTGTGGGAATCTATGACACGCATGTAGTAGTTAGTTAAGATTTTAAAATATATATTGTATGTCATAGATATTCGGAAGGATTTGTCTCAGATATATTAATGTTACACAAATTTAATGTAGCACGTACGATGGTAAGTGATAAATCGCATTATATTTTTTATCCATTACGTGTTAGAATTGTGAACAACATAGAGTAATCAGGATTTTACTTCCAAGAATACTTTCGTCTATACTTCTGTTTTAGATGGCGTTGTACATATATATATACGTATAACGTTAAAAATAATTTTGATTGTGAAACTAATAAATCTATTTATAAAATAAATAAGATAGTAGATATTAAAAAAAAGTAATATTTAAATTTGTGTTATGTTGAATTTAAATATAAGATCTTTGAAAATCAATCACGTTTTAAACTTTTTTACTCGAAACCATCTGACATGAGAGCAAACAAGTCAATTATAGCAAAGTTCCTCGAGAGAACTAATTTTTAGACAATAAAATATAGACCAAATGGGCTGTATTATATTGTCTATCTACTGATGACAGTAGAGACACACTTTGAATTTTTAACACTACATATCGCTAGTTCTATTTTCACGTTGGTAATGACATTATTACTTTCATTTTAAATTCCATGGGCAGGACTTCTGTTTATTATTGAGTTTCCTTAGAAATTGTCAATCTGGTATTTTCAAATTTAATAATTTCTAGGCTATTTCCTAGATTGGAGTAAGTAAGCGACATGCGGTGGGTCGTCTTGTAAACTTTGTGAAAAAAAAAACACTACATGCGGCTAAAACTATATTATATAAAATGTACATAACTGCATGGTATATATAGTGAAAATGCAGCAGGCGATTTAAATATAGAACGTGTGGAGCACGGCAAATATCATTGGTGTGAGAGTTTGTACTGTGCGTGTAGTGAGTGGAGACGTCGCCTGTAGCCGAGGGATCCGGTCGGACTCTACTTGTTTGTATGTACAAGTGCGAGTGCCGACTTCGTCTTATATGACAGCCACGCGATTTTTCCCAAATGTTCATGTCGATTTCGTTTTTATTTTTTATTTAGTTATAAGAAAGTATGCACTTTTCACGGTTCGGTTGATCATTTAATTCACGACATGTAATCGATTAAAGTGCTGTGTAACGAGTTTTATGTGTAGTTCTTTCGAATTAAAAACTTCAATAAAACTAATTTTATTTAATATTGTCAGTATAAGTACGTAATTTTTAATTTTATTTTTAACTTAAATGATATTGTAAACAAAAGGCTCAGATTGATGAAATTCTTTAGGATAGAACTTTTTCAGATATGTTTTAATAGAAAACTTTCTTACCTTTAAAAATAGTTTTTGATAGTTTGAAATCAATTTTTATACTTCAATCGTGAATACTTTTAAAATTGGTAAACTAGTTGACTAATAAATTAGTACTATCATCGTAAATACTTTCATTCTTGGAATATTTGCATTGAATTCACAACTAGAGGGTAATGTACTCTAAAATTAAGATTATTCAAACTATTCATTATAACATCGTTCAAATTTATCAATTTATTTATTGAATTGGTGTGATAACAGGATATCCAATAAAGGCGTAGGACAAACCGCGTTTAAATATCGAAATATAAGTAGATAAGAATTTAAAGAGAATAAGTAAAAATAACTATTAAGAAATTAGATAATGAACTAGATAATTAAATTATAAAGTTTTCCGTCAAAGCGTAGTTTGCATAGGTGCTCCCAAAAACTCTTAAGTGGTGGTGGCTTAGACCCCTCTAATTCTGTATTAGTCTTGCAAAAATTATGAAAATTACATGTTAATTAACTTATATAAATATTTTTAAGGAAGAGAGAAATTAAACTAGCATTTCGTTCAAATTGCGCCTATGCAAAGAAAAACTTGTAAATGAGTTGAATTTTTGGGGGTTCTCTACCCCCAAAAATTCAACTCAAAAAAATGTGGTAAAAAAGCTTTCCGACACGTCTATTACCTAAAATTATAAAATAGAGTATAATGAGATTACATCCCCCCACAAAAAAATTTCCCAAGTTACACCTATGCTTGAAAATCATCGATTCAATAATTATAATGTTCATCGTTTCATAATTTTGCTATATTTTATATTATTTTTCATAAGTTTAATACAAAACGTATGTTACAGAAATGTGTATTTTATAAAATTAAGTTATAAAATTTAATTTTCAGAAAATTTTGTTTGATACATTTAATTACTCAAATCTCCATTCATACTAAAAGCAATAGTGGTCAACGTGTTTGGGGGAATCAACCCATTGCAATTTTTTTATTTGTAAACAATTTGGAGTGTGGAATTGTGTATTGAAAACCCGTCCAGTAGAAAATTATACATACACCCTTATTATTATATTTTTGACTTGGAATAGATTTAATAAGAGAAATTCCATTTAATTTCTAGTAAATTTTGCTACTTTTCCACATGAAAAAAATTTTATTTTCACCTTATTGTCTTCTATTTATTTACGCTACTACAGTTATTACCTTACATTATGTAAAATTCATTAAAGTTATGTAAAATTTAATGGAACCAATCTTTATTATTGTATACAATAAAAAAATATACATTTAAAAAAATAATTATAAATGTTTTATTTTTAAAAAATGTAACCAAACATTTGTTTACTTACTTTTATTATAATTATTGCACTTATAAATATTCATTTGCGCTATTGATTCTTTAGATATACATATCTACAAAATAAAATCCTAGTCTCAAATTAATTTGATGGATAATGTTATACTGGGTAGTTCTTTACACTTAATAATACATAAATTACTTAAAACATTTATATTTATAATTAAATTCAACAAATCAACACATTTATTATTTGAAACGATAAATTTTTAATTAATTTGCTCAAACCTAGTTAAATGAATCTTCTAATTTTCAAAAGCATTTCAGAAAAGTATTTTCTAATGCAGAATATATTTTTTCAGGGCTGTTCTCGGCGGGATAGCCTACGGGGGTTCTATTTGGTATTTATAAATGAATCATACAATATATGCCTAATTTATTTATGTTTTACCAAACCTGTCGTTCTCGTATGTTTTCACATTGGGAAGTATACAGGTTGAAAATGATCAAAACCATTAAGTCATTCTATCGTTCAAAAACGTTGTTTTGGCACGACAAAGATAAACGTTTATTAAGATAATTCTGTCAACGTTTTATACGTGTCTTGAGGGATTACCGTCGGTTTGTTGTTTTTATAGTTAGTCGGTATGGTTTTTGATGTGGTTAATATTTAACTAATGCCAACACTCATTTTGGAGTTGGTCGACTAGATAAATCATTAAATATTAACCGACTCAAAAATTTGTGTCTGTATTAATAAAAATTGCAAGTTATGGAATCAATGAAACAGTAAACCTTTATAGTAAAANCAATATTTAACTAATGCCAACACTCATTTTGGAGTTGGTCGACTAGATAAATCATTAAATATTTAACCGACTCAAAAATTTGTGTCTGTATTAATAAAAATTGCAAGTTATGGAATCAATGAAACAGTAAACCTTTATAGTAAAAATTGTATTGGAAAATGGAAAGAGCATATGAAGGTTGATTTATTCGCTTTACTGTCTTCTTTATGTACGAAACCAAAGCTATAGCAAAACGTCGCCAGGTCGATATAAAAAAATGGCTTCGTATTTTTTTACGACATGGGGAACTGGAATATTATATTCTTAGGTTCTTTCACTTGTGTCTTTATATATTGTGCACGCAAGTGTTTTAATCCCGTTAATCGCGTCACCGACTTAGTCTGGAATCCGTTTAATATACATTACATATAATGTAGTATTTAGTGTGCGTTTAATTTACTAATAAATTTCTTATTTTTATTGTTTATCACTGTATGACACCCTTAATTAAGTGAGCTCGTTACTGATTTTTTTAAATTATAATTCTTTATTAAAATGTTTAAAATTAGGTAACAGTAGTTAATTTGAGGAAGTCTCTCACATAAATATAAATTAATTTAAATGTGTATAAATATACTTAATCATTGTCATCTCCTTAACCTCTATTCAACTATTTGGTGTCGGCTCTATCGTACTATTTGACTGGATTTTATATCTGCTGTTGACCTGACGCAACCTCATTATGTCTGAGGGACCTAGTATCGAAAACGAATCGTGTATCACAGTTTAAGTTCCTGTACGGTCACCCATCCAAGAACAAACAGTACTATAAATATATATCATGTCATAATGTAAATATGTGTAATGAAAAAATCCCTCTTTTAGGTATTATAAAGTGAAATTTCCATTGTTATTACATATCTAAATTTTTCTATGCATGTTCTTTTCATTATCTTAAAAAATAATTTGTTGATTGACAATTTGAATGATGAATGATATTTAAAATTGAAAGTTACGAACCAGAAAATAAGATGAGAACATTAGACAAATTTGGATTCAATTGAAATAACATATGTTCTTAATATGCCATGGCTATATTTACCGTGAACACGTTTATTTATGTAAAATCAATCTTCTTTACATGTCGGCTTTTTTTATTTATGCATGACCCAATATCATGACGAATCGAACTAAATATATTTAGTAACACATAATAATAAAAGTGTAGGTAATTGTCTTAATCGTATCACTTTTTAACTAAGACTAGTTTTAATTTTTTTAATAGTTAATTTTAAACTATTTTAAGTTTCCTTAGAGTTTTTAATATGCAATAATTTTTAGAATATTAGTGTGATAAATCTTATTAGTACTGATTTGGTTGAATTATAAAAACCTATAATATAAATTGTTGTAATTGTTGGATTTCTAATGTATGTATATGGTCAGTGTTGAATCCTAGTCCTACAATTTAGCTGTTTTTGAAAACTATAGCAAAAGAGAAGGAACAGAAAAGTTTTTTTTAAAAATTATGAAACACAGGATATTATTAATTTTTGAAAAGAAAAAATTGTATTAAGTTTTATATTTTAAAAGCTATTAGTCTTAGTTGAACGATAACTCTGTAAAAGGTATAATTAAAGTTATAATAAAGGTAAAACTCTTAGGAAACACTATTTCTATACTAAAATAGTATTTAAAACAGTAAAAAAATTAAATTTGCTATATTATTTTATTATAAGTGACTGTTTGAAGTTAAAGATATTACTTTTATATTAAGAGATGACATGATATATTGAATAAATATCAATTTTTTAGTCGTTTAATAAACAATAGTCAATAAATACAAATCAGATAGATTTAATAATCTAATTATTTTTGGATTTGAATACTTAAACAAATATTTTTTTAAATAAGCAATGATTATAATTTTTAATGGGTTTTACAAAGAACGAGAAATATTTACAATATAAACGTCAACAGTAATGTAACACCTTTGTGATAAAATTATAAATTTCTAAGATTAATTTCAAGCTCATAATTGTAACATCATAATGAATTACTGTAATTTTTATCTATCGGCTCTAAATCCTATTATATGAAATATTTTATCTATTCTATTTTCTTACACATACGTCACATGATGAGATTGAGCTCCCAGTTTTTTTCATCATAGTGTCAATTTATCATATTACACGAGTTGTGTCAAAATGTAATTATAGAAAATCTACTAACTAGAATATATTTATAAAGCCTATGAGTAATAAAACAAACTATTTATATGTTGTCAGTTGCATGTAAAAGGGTTTTTTTTAAGATGAATCACAAAAGCTTTATCAATACAAATGCTTTTTTGTTAGTAGAATCGTGAAGTAAAACGTTCATTATTTACCTTAAGGCCTTAGCCTCCTTTATATTTACCTTTTTTTTCTACAACTGTTTATCAATAATATTAGGAATTATAATTTAAAAGTTAATTTTAATTTAAATCATAACTCATAATATTGTATAACATATAATTAAAATTATTTAAAATATTTTATTTCTATTATGTGTAATTGTTATTGTTTTTACTGTAAAATAGTTTTTATTTTTGAAAACTCATTAATAATACTTAAACACTTTTAGAATAAACTTTTCAAGAGTATATCAATAAATAAACTTTTTGAAACGCTGTTAAATGTTTTATTATATCCACAAAGATAATATTAATTCTAATCACTATGCTCTCAAAATGATGAGTGAATATTTTTTTATGTTGTATCTTATTAATTTTTCAAAAGATCATGTTATATATATAAAAAAAAATAAGTTAGCTTCCACAAATCTAGAAATAAATCTCTAGTTATTCTAATTTTAGCCTGTCTTACATAACGTCGTCGGGCTTTATTCAAGTTTCGTAAAATTCGTAATTAAATTTGTTCATTACAAAAAAGTTATATATTTTATGGAAATCTAACGGACACAACTCATTTTACAAATTTACAACTACTATTCTGACTATATAAATGAATTATTTTTAAATTAATGTTATTTTTTCATAGGATTCTGCAATTGGTGTAAGCATCACTTGCAATAAGTGTAATGGATATGATCGGTAGCTGACACCCCGCGCGGCTGGAATGCGGGACTTACGGATGGGAAGTCCCGCCGTCCCGGTACGCTATGCTTGACGTGTTCCGGGGCCTAAAGAGCCTGGTGAAAATCAGTCACGTGCACATTGACTCTCCTGTATTTCGGCTACACTATAGCCTGACGGTGATGCTGCTGTCCGCTTTTAGCTTAATCGTGACAACCCGTCAGTATGTAGGCAACCCCATAGACTGCGTGCACACCAAAGACATACCCGAAGACGTGTTGAACACATATTGTTGGATACACTCCACGTACACAATCAAAGAGGCATTCAAGAAGAAGGTGGGCGTTAACGTTCCCTACCCGGGTGTTGACAACACAAGAGGCAAGTTCGGCGATCGCAAAACCTATGGGTACTACCAATGGGTGTGTTTTTGTTTGTTTTTCCAGGTAAATAACTATTACATCTCAACATATACTATCTTGTGTAAACGATTTAAAAGGATAATTTTGGCTCTAAATTAGTTATTATTTTATGTATATTGTAATTAGTTATTACCAACACGTCTATGGAAAGCTTTCTGGTTATTAATCAGAAAAAACTGTCGGATAGTAATTTAAGCAGAGGACGTAGGGTGCATCGTCCTTCTACCTCTACAAGTGTTTTACGGAGTGTCTTCTTTGTCTCCTCAACGTGTTTGTACCATTTAAACTCTTGAATGTACGTGTTACTTGTAACTAAGATTTACTGATATTTGTGAGATTTCCAATTGGGTGCATTGAAAGGGTTGTATTAAAAAATACATTATGCCAGTTGAAAAATAAACGTTCTATTTGGTATTTAAATGTCTTGTAATAAGGTAATTTACCTTATTTCTCTATTTTTCTTGTAATATCAATGTATATGACGTCACTTCTATTTTAAAAAATAGAAAAATTATTGTATGTTTATTGAATTTTGATTTAAAATATTACAAAAACGATGGGTAAAATTGTGTGAACAGTTTACTGTCCAAGAAATTACATGTTTTTTCCTAAATTACTATAGATAAATAACGTCATAAATAAGAAGCGTTTTAAAAACTTAATTTCATGACAAAACTACTTTCTTTTCGAACCAAATTGATCTATAATTTTCTTCTAATTATTGACTTTGATATTTGATTTTAAAGATAGGTACGTTTGACTTCTTTCGATAATATGCGAGAAAAATCTCAAAAATTAATTTTTTACTAAAACGTGCATTGAATAAGTTAAAAAAATATGGTTAGATCACTAGAAGGTTGCAATTTTAAATTAAATGAAAGTTACTATGAGTAGGATCACATTAATGAAGGTACAAAAGAAACTTTGTTTGAGGCGCTATAATATCATTTCTTTTTTTTTTCGGAGGGGGTATAAAAGAAGTGACAAATTTAAACGACTTAAAACGACTCTGATGATAGACAAATATGGTTGTTCTCTAAAATTGTAAATGTATTTTTATTTCTTAGACAATACGCTTAATACAAATAATTAAAGAGCTGATCATTTTTACTTTTCTAAAAGGATAAGACCATTGATTGTCATTGTTAGTTCCTTGCAGAACAGAATTTTCGACATTATAAGTACGCATTGATATAAATGTAATTCATATATTAATTTAACATATAATATAAATTCTGTAAACTTAATTTCTTCTTGAACAAATATTTTGACCATTTCATAAAGTTTATGATCGATGGACTTAATAATTATGTCATATAATTATCTGTCACTCACCTAGTGATACTTAAATTAATCATACAATAAGTACAATTTTGAAATTTATAGCTGATGAGTTATAGTATTCCTACGATGCATTTGAAACTGAGAGTAGTTTGAGAATACGTAATTTTATAATATAGTGTAACTAGTTTAAATATAGTCTATGGAATACTTTGTACATTATGTCGGCAGTGTTGGTCAATAAAAAATACAAATAAACTTCTGGTAAAAAACCAAAGGAACCCGACCGCACATAAGTAAACACATAAAACGTGTACCAGTCTGTAGTACCTACACAACTGATGAGACCAATCGCACTAAAGTCAAAACGGTCGTAAATCGTGAGAGGACTCCAAGCATAATAATAATATTGTTATTAGTATCATTACAAATACGGCCTAAGTAAATGTTATTTTTTCATTCCGTCCGAAACAATAATTTTTTACGAATAGAATGGTGCAATGAAATAGACTGACTCCAATCATTAGAGTTTATTAGGAGATAACTATAGGTATTTAATTTTACCATATTACATCATAATGTGTGGCCTATAGTTATTTTTAAAGGCGCAATGCTAAAAGAAACCGATTTAATGTAAAAATTTTCTATGAAAAATTATTTTGTATTTTATTTAAAAATTGATTAATATATGTATATAAATATCGAAAAATTGCTATTGATTATATTTTGTTTAGAGAAAAGCGTACACTCCTTATGACGTTCTTAGGACGGCTCTTTGTCTATGAAATACACTTAATTAGTATATCACACATTAGTTACTTTGACTATTTGTTTTACTCTTTGAGGATACTGAAAAATCAAAGTGGCAAATTTGATTAAAATGTTGAACTCTATTTTTTAGATTTACTCATATGCTTGAAATTTAATTGCCTAATTGATATTCTAAAGTTTTTCTTCAGATGGATTACTGCATTATAATATTTTTTCGGTAATGTTAAATATGCCTGTAATTCTATTAAATCATTTTCTAATTAATACATTTAGAACATGTTCAATTTTTAAGCTTAAATATTGAAAAACTTTTCTAGATCGATTAGACTGTATAGTATAATTTTTTGTTTTGGTAATATTTTTACAGTTTTTATTAAAGTTTGTGATTATCTAAAAATCAATTGATTAATAATTTTACAAATTATTAATTTGTTTACTCAACTCATATAATTTTTTTTTTTATTTATTTAATAATTTTACAAGTTATTTTACTATACTAAGTCATTTTTTTATGTTATAATCATTTTTTTTTCAACATAGTTAAACTCATATACATATGTATATACTATATACAGATATTTATGAGTTTTTGTGACATTTCAGCTGAAATTATTCCTTTAAATTAATATTATATTAGTCTGTTCATTCATTTATCGACAAGTTAAATATTTTTTTTTGGCATCTATCAACTCATATATTTAAGGTTTCATGAAATTAACTTAATTAAATTAAAAAATTTCATTTAATTTATCCAGTATAAAAGTTCGCCTAGTACTTAGTAAAAACTAAGGAGAGTTTAAGAGGTTTATGCCCCTTAACACATCTTTAATCACTTCAAAATTGACGAGATCTCATGATTATTAAACATAGACAGAAAAATTTTTTTATATATAAAGTATAAAGCTCCTCTTGAAAATTTATAGCAATAGTTCTGTTTTTCATAATAAATTTCTATAGAAAATCATTAATTTTATTTATGAAATTATCATATAGATGCTCATTTTTGTGGTTTCTTAAATTCAAATAGTGTTATTTTTTGTTCAGATTTTTTAAGTAACAATAAAAATAACGATATATAGTGAATGGAAATCGAACGTGGTTTGAACACCTGAAAATGATAATAGCACGTGCAAAGTTTTAAAACAACACACTGTAATAGGCGAAACGTGTGAACCATTTGGCCGCCAGCCATGAAGAACACCGCATGGTCCGGTGAAAAAAAAACTTTCCCTGGGGTCATTATTGTTCACTCCCTTCGTGTATATTAGTCTTTTTTATTTTTTATTATATTCGTTTTTAGCGGTTTGTGCGTCGATTATGTCTAAAAATATCGTTCTCAGCTCCTAAATATGTGATGCGCGCTCTCATCCATCGGGTGTTACTAGATATTTGTGTTTTTTATTCTTCTCCAACCCAATACATTTCAGGATAAATACATTTTTAGTTATGCCATAAATATTAGAGTTGAGTATAAAAAGTAGTGAAAAAAATATTTGCTTAAGGTTCATAATGCAGAAATAAATAATAGACGAATATTTGATTGAATATATTAAGTATTATATTAAATTGTACATATTCTAATAAATGTAATTTACAAGCAAATCGTCAGCTTCGATGCAAAACTTTATAAGTTGAGCAAAGATATAACTTGGTACCTATCAATGTGATTCAAACAAAATTTATAAATGTATAAATATTATAACGGGCCCTATTTATTAGTCATAATTTGAAAATAAACTCGTTTTTTCGTTAAATTTTCGCTTTTGTAAAGTAACAATAATTGTTACTTTAATAGCAATGTGAATAATTATTATTGACCTTGTTATGTTACAAAATCAATGGTCCGACCAAAAGCCTAAATAAAATTGTAAATAATTATCAAATTATCATTATTTTCACCGTATTTATAAAATTTAATGAAAGCGACTTATGAGATGATATTTAGAATCAGTAGATGGCGTGACTGTAAGGCACAGACTGTAATTTAATCGTGTCGTACTCAAAGTACTAAATTAATTTTATTGTCTATTATGTTATTTTGAGCTAAAAAACAAATATCGACTTGATATATTTTCTATATTTTTATCCATAAATTAGCTATAATTTTGATATTTTAAACAAATTTTAAGATCACAGTACAAATTTTAATTTTTTGTAACTAGCTTTATTTTTTAAGAACTCTATTTTTCAAGTCTTTTTATTTTATTTTGTACTTTGTATAATTTCTTTGTAAATTTTAAAATGCATTAATTTAAAACGTTGTCAGTAATAGTTAATTAGCCGATGATGGATATTTTATTTTTCGTACACGTTTAAATTCTCTTCTCGTTTCTAATAGAGCTGACATATAATACTGAGACCTAATATATTTAAGTTATTTTAAGAAACATGTACGTATATCAGCGTATGTTCGGCCGTTAGCAAATTATTTATAAATGAGTTATTTGTGTTAGATTGACTTAGTAATAGTACAGAGGCTAGTCAGTTTTATTTGTATTTCTAATAAATAACTAAGTACATAGTGTATACGCTTTCAATGGAACAAAGTGTTGACGCTTACTTTTATAGACTGTATCATTACATTTTTCTTAAAGCTGAAACGAAGACGTCTGACGGCAATTGAGACTTTAACGAATTAAAAGAATTTATATTTATTTAACTTATAGAGAATGATTACCTGTACAACAAAACTCTGATAGCTTGAGCAATACAGTGTTGTTATCCTTATTATTTCAACGATAAGCATTTTTATATGTTTATCAGCCACATTTAAGCTTTGAAAAAAGAAAAAGGTTTGGTATCGACGAGAATTAAAATTATAATTCTAAAATTTTTTAATAGCTGAGATGAGAATATAATTTTAAATTTGCAAACAATAATTTATTTTATTCAACAATATAAGTATTTTGACCATTAAGGTTATTGAAATGTAAAGTTTCGAAAAAATATAATAAGTATTATTGTGCATCTTTAACCAAAATCTAATTAAGTTATTAGAATAGTTTTAATTTCCTTTTGGTTTTGTACAGTACATTTAGTCGACTAATTGTGTGTTGAACATTTCCATATAAAAGAATGGTTTCTTTTTGAAAAACAAGTAGAAATAAAAATCTCTTTTCTAGCCAATTACTAATGTTATCCATTCTTGGCTATGTCAATATTCACTTTATAGTCGGGTTATTTTTTTTAACAATGTATTAATATCGTATTTGATTCTATTTATAAATATATATATATATATGTTTTCATTGTATAACCATACAAAATAAAAAATACTAAAGTTAATTTTTGATCGTTGAATACTATATCTTTACGGATAATTCTATTATAGTTAAAGAAATTACTGGTTTATAATACATCTTTTTTTTTTTTTGAGATTCAGTTTGATATAGATCGGGTTAGGTTACAACGATAAATCGATTTTTGATTGTGGTTTAAATTATTATTTTTTTAATATAATTTTTTTTATTTAACCTAGGGGTTCAAAGTTATTAGTAAATATATTATCTTTGTACATTACTGTTTCAGATAGTCAGTAGTAGCATATGCTTTTCGAAATACTCGTTCACTCGTCTCCGTCACTAGGACATTTTATATTAATAATACAGAATGATTGTATAAGCGATACAATATCTTTAGTAATCTATAATATAATATAAATTTTTCTTTTCAGAAGTTAACAGTATAATTTTAATTAAAGTTTGTTTGTACGACAGTGTACAAATTAGAAATATAAATATCACCCCTTAAGTAATTAGTATCTATCATAAATTTTTATCCAATAAAGTAAAGCTATTTATTTTTTAGCAAAATATTATTTGGCTGGATAACATTTCATGATATCGTTAATTTTATTATAAAGCAATTTTAATTTTTAAGTTTAATTTAATTAAATTTAATGAAAATAATTGTTTCATACTAATGATAATGACCACGGGGCATAGACGGACATTTGGTTGAATTTTTGAGGAGGTTAGAAAAAGTGTTAGCAATATAACTGCAGGGGCTTCACTCCCGCGTTCCCTATAAGTCATACAATAATATTTCATCAATATTAATTCATAATAGAATGAATGATTGTAATAATAATTTTTATTTCAATAAAACATATCTATGTCAATTTCAGTAGTTTTAATAAATACTGAAAAATTTCTCCATGATTATAAATAAAAATACTGAGCCATAAACAAGTATACTATCTGTAGTATACTTAAACTGAATGTCTTAAACAAACAACAAAAATCGTAGAAATTCTGACCCGATGTGCACTTATGACATGGAGGGTTTAATGTGGTGGAATAACTTCATTCGTGTTCGACTACCACAAGAAACTATTTATTATCTCTAAAACTAGTTGTTCTTACTTGTAATAGTTTCAAAATTATTCTATTACGTCATCATTGTTAAATTCTTGCAGCTATTTTTTCCAAAACGAAACGAAAAACAATTGTTAACTGTTAGAATACATTTACTTTATATTTTTATACTATACTTGTAAATTACACATACACGTTCATAAAAATATATTATAAGTTTAAAAAAAATTGAGGGCAATAATTCACTGATTACTATTGAGTTTTAAATTTGAATAAGTATATTTACTGTAATAATATTTTAACCTCCTACTGCAGTTTCAACTATAATTTTCATTGGCTTTCTGACTACAAGTAGTTAATTAAAATTTGACAAGTATCAATTGTCATTTAGTCAGTGATTTGTAATAAAGTAATTTTTTTCTGTCAATAAAAATTCCCTAAAAGTTACACTGGACAGACATCTTTAACAGGTGTATGCCATTTGGTTTATTTAAATGTAGTTACAGTACAACAAACTTCAGGTATTTAATAAAAAATAATACGAGAAAGTAAAATGTTGGAATCAAGATATCATTTTATAATATCTAAAATTAAAATTATGTCTATATAGTATTGATAATATTAAGTTCCATTAGAAAAAAATAATCTCACCTTATTTTATATATGTTTAAAATTTAACTGATATTAACACCGTATAAGAATTCTCAATATTTTATATGAATTTATTTTAAAAAGTTTAATAATCACTTATTATAGATCAGTCAATATATTAATTGGTACGGGTACTAGTTAAATATATTAATTACATGATGAATTCGAAATTTAAAGTCGAAATAATTATAATATCTATTAATCTGAGTAGTGCAAAAAAAAAAAATCATTTATATCCTTATATAACGTTTAATATGAATTAATAAATTTTATTGTTCATAAAAACATTGTTTTTAAGTGGGGTACATGAAAAAAGGGAAATTTAAGTTTATTAGCTTAGTTAAAATTGGTATTATTATAAACAAATTATTCTATTCATATAGTTGTAAATAAGTTATACACGTATAACATTTTAATTGATAAGACAATATTTATTACTCCATTAAAAGTTATGAACAGCGTTTTAATTTGTAAAATCTTTTTCGTTATTAATTAAATTGTTTATAATTATTGCATCTAAATATATATAATTATTTTGACAAAAGTACATTTAGACAAGTGTTGGCATACAATGTATGTTTTGGTTTATCAAAAATATGATGTCAGGCTGTTTTTTTAATTAATTTAACAGAACCATACGACAGTAACTTAAAAAAACATTTCTAATTAAGATATATTTGACCAAATAGAAGCAGAACTGACTAATTTTCGCTCAACCGTTGACAGACACCCGTCAGATGCATTTATCATTTTGAAGTATAATTTGGACGCCTTTTTTACAGTTTTTTCTTGCAGCCTCGTAAATCACTCAATTTTTAACAAAAAAAAAAAACTTTAAGCAAATTTTTGGTTGATGCACAAATCACAATGTACCTGATAAGTTGCCAAAACTACGACAATAGAGCCAACAAAAATATAAAATTACTTCTAATTATATCTAATATACAGGCCAATAAAAGTTTTTACTGTGTATATTATTACATTTTAGAATATATGTCTACTTTATGTATACTAGAAAATTTGTGATGTATGTGATATGTATAAATCTAGAATTTTATGATAAATCACTACTATATAAATCTTAATAGTTACATATTAACGTTATTGCTTACACTGTTCTGTGTATCGATATATTTTTTTTAATAACAAATGTTTTGTCTATTTGATTTTTGTCTTGTTACCAAGACCTTGTTTTGCATGCTCATAAATTGTTTTTGTTGTCTGCAGGCAATACTATTTTACACGCCCAGGTGGCTTTGGAAACATTGGGAAGGCGGCAAGATCCGGGCACTCATGATGGACTTGGACGTGGCAATATGTACAGAAGCGGAAAAAAAACAGAAAAAAAAGATTCTACTCGACTATCTGTGGGAGAACCTGAGATATCACAACTGGTGGACGTATAGGTATTACCTGTGCGAAATATTGGCGTTGTTGAACGTTGTGGGTAAGTATAACGATCGCTTGAACAAGAACAGCGTAGGTTTTTTACTATCCCAGCAGCCCACGGTAATATTCATGCGAAATTTTAAAAATTTAATATAAAAAATGTTTTTATGATAAAACTTATTAAAAATAATATCGTTCAACAATAACTTTCTCAAAAATATTGTTTTCACTTTTTTAATCCTACAGTTCTATGACTTGTAAAGTTAAAACATCCAAATCAATCTCTTATGTGAATTAATAAAAAAGTTTTAAGTACAAAATTAATCAAGTTAAAAGAAAAGCATTACAAATAAATTAATATTTAACTAAATCTAGGTAGCTTTAAAATAATGAAAACACATGATTGAGTTAAAAAATTATTTAGAAAAGAATACTAACAGATGATGCCTGTTTTAAATCATATAAATAATGAGTATTATAGTGTATGGTATGATATCCTTTATCTTAATCATAATGGAAGTTGAGTAATAATCAAAATTCCATTAGTAAATGCTTTGTTGCTAATCAAGAACCGTTTGAGTTGATGAAACAAATAGTATATCTATAGGTGTTTGTAATATTTGTATTATGCAAAATTCGAGTACAAAACTGTTATAGTTCATATACTCAAGAAGTGGGTTTTTCATTTTTTTTTGCATATGAATATTTGTGGTTTGAATTTTCAAAATTATATATACATTTTATTATGTGAAAAAATTGTTGTTATAATTTCATTATTTTAAGTTGATAAAAATATATATTTATAATTAATCCATTACAATTTTTTGTTATTTAAAATAAACAATATATGCGTTTTAAAATAGATAAGAAATTTTAGAGTATGTTACTAATAGTAATTTTGGCTTTGCTATCATCTATAGTTATTTTAATATATTAAATAGTTTAAGACAAATTATAAAACAGTATATCATTTTAATTGGAATCATTCATAGTTGTTATTTGTCATACTACTAATGGGTTATAACTATTACTCTATTTACTAATAAATTCTAGTAAAAAATATTTTTTTCTGTGCTGTCTAAAATGTTGTTGTACTTAAGTGTTGACAAAATTTAATGATCATTTAATTTGTTCGATGACAGGGCAAATGTTTTTGATGAACCGCTTCTTCGACGGTGCTTTTTTAACTTTCGGTATAGACGTCATTCGATTTTTGGAAAGTGACCAGGAAGATCGCATAGATCCTATGATATATATTTTTCCGAGGATGACCAAATGCATATTCCACAAATTTGGGGTTTCTGGTGAAGTTGAAACTCACGATTCGATATGCATACTCCCTTTGAACGCAGTCAACGAGAAGATATATGTGTTCCTGTGGTTTTGGTTTATGATCCTTGGTTTTTTGTCAGCAGCTGTATTAGTTTACAGGTGTGTATAGATTTAATAATACCTTTGATAATGACCATGATGAGATTTAAGTTGTAAGATTATATGGAGATTATTTTATTAACATAAAATGCAAAGAAAAAGTATTTAATACCAGATAATACTGCTAGGGTACAGTCGCACCAGATTATTTTACACAATTGTTCTAACAATCGGTTGACTACAATGTTACAAATGTACAATTTTACATATAATCCATTTTATAAAAATAAATAATGTTATTTAGGTTTATTAAAATGTAATTTAAACATTAAAATTCACTTTTGAAATATATTTCAAAAGCGATTTCGTTAAAATATATGGACGATATTTTGTAAATGTACAAAATTAGATTTGTGGTGGTTTATATGTTTAACCTCAATCCGTTCTAGTTTTATACACAACAGTTTGTCATGAATAATCGTTAAAATACAAAGTGAAAAGAAATAATTGAACTGCTATGATTTAGTTGCATTTTTACTGATACACCCGAATTAGTGTAAGTATTATTATTTACAACTGTAAACGCCTGTTAGTTTTTTTTGAAAGTTAAACATCTGAATAATACATATATTGAATTCTTAGCTTTTATATACTTATATATGAACAATTCATGACAAATAAAATATAGTGAAAATGTATAAAACTGAGTACAAAATTGTCATATTTAAGGAAACACATTTATCTAAACATAAATTTTTATCTTTTTTAAGTTAAAAAATATACATGAATTCAATTTTTTTCCCTAGAAACTGCACGTACCATAATTATGAATAATAATTTCAATTATTATATAGGCCGACAAATGTTTATTTTATATCTATTTTAGAAACGTTGGTTTTGAGGTGTAAAACATAGTTTGTAGATATAGAAGTATTTTTATTAAACTTACAATAATATTATTACTTTGACTGCTAATTTAAAATTATTTGAAAAATATTTGGTTTGCGTGATTCCAGTACAACGTACAACATTTGAATATATTTCTATTCGATTATTATTGAATGACTATGTCGATATTTTTTCAATTACCCTGCAAATGTAAAAATTATCAATTCAATTAAATCTTTGATAAGGTTAAGTCAAGGACGTAGNCAGTTATTACCCTGCAAATGTAAAAATTATCAATTCAATTAAATCTTTGATAAGGTTAAGTCAAGGACGTAGACGTTTTGTGAATTTTTATGATAACGTGTACGCGAAATTTGCAATCGTCGTATAAAGTATTAGATGTTTAAGGAACATCGTAAGTTATGAATATAATCGTAGTCGTAAAGTTACTTTGATTTTTACTAAAAAAACCTTTCAACTCGTACTTAAATCGTGACTTGTGGTTAATGCAATTACATTTGTTTGAAACTAATTCAAAAAATATTTACAACCGGTATAATATTTTCATTATTTTGTTATTTTTACTATTTGACTTCATATCGACTCATAACGCTGGTGTTTTTTTTCTCATTAGGTTGATCATCATAGTGTCACCACGAATGCGCGTGTATCTGTTCTGCGTGCGGTTTCGGCTCATCAAGCGGCAAGCCATTGGGAACATCGTTCGCAGGTCCAAGTTGGGCGACTGGATGTTATTGTACGTGCTCGGTGACAACATCGACTGTGTCATATTCAGAGACGTAGTCCACGACTTGTCACACAGACTGGACGCGTATAACAACAAGAACTCAACGGTACGGACGGTTGATGCGTGAAGACTGATTTATTATGCTCAATTCAGTAATAAAACATAATATTGGTTAGTACTTAGCAATCGCATTAGACGATTGTGGAACTACATTAAACTGCACACTCGCTGCCATCATTTTTTAAATTATATACATGACAGCTGTACTTAAAATAGTGCCTGTGGAAATTTGATTGACTCAATAATACTACGAAACTACAAATCCCCTCAATTATAAGTAATGCATATATTAACAGAGAACTGGTTTCCGTGAACTTTGTTTCTAATTATTTTTTGCTCGTATGTTATAATTTAATGCGTTATAGGAAAAAAAAATGTATTGTTTGACCGTGTTTTTCCGCTGGGTACCTCCGTCATGTGTAATTTTCTTTTATTTCCGCCAATTTGTTTGTTTATTTTATTCAGTGAACTACAGGTATAAGGTTTTGCTTTTTATTTTGTTAAAAAATGAAAACGAAAAAAAATAATTGTTGATTTGACTGAAACGGGCTAATTATTTATAGGGGCTATGGTTTTATTGCTCTACATTTACTCAACTACATTTTGTTCGCCTGACCGAATGACCGTGATCGATGAATTGTATCTCATTAGTATTATTAGGGCGTCCACAACTAATTAACATTTTACAGCGATTAATTAACAATTGCATCAAGGTCTAATTGCATTAAATCTACATTAGGTTTTAATATTAATTAGAACTTTCTTTAAGACTATAAGTTATTACGATCAATTGCCTTACTTAAGAAAATATGTGTAAAAACGTAAGGTAATAACTTGAAAAAATGAGTTTTTAAAAATCTTTTTAACATTTTTTCGCGTCTCACGGTAATCATACGATTAGTTTGTCACAAAGAATTCAATTATTTTTCCATGTCTGAGCTGTATGGGTTCGGTTTAATAAGTACATCTACGTTGATTACGATTTGTACAATAGATGTGTGTAAAATGTCACGGTTTGCAAATAATATATGGCATTTTTTTGCATTCCCATTTTTGGCCGTCTGTGTGAAATTTTGTTCCAATAAACCGTGCCCAGAATTCAAAAATAGGCTACTCAAAGTATTTTCTTTTAGAAAATCAGTTTTCAACGTCCGGAAAGACAGACACCTTTATAGTCTTGAGCAACTGTTGTCAGACATAATCGAAATCCGAGTAAATCTATCTGGCTTGAACATGACGATTTTCAGTCAGGCATGTTTGAAATTGGAAGAATTTTTGGAACATTCGAGTGATTATCTGGAGACTGTCCAATGTAATAAGATTGTTTATAGCTAAATGACACAAAGAAAAATGATAAAATATTGTTTCTATTAGATATAGAAATTGGAATAAATATAATAAGATATCTTCATAAGAAACCAACGAGTACATACGTTTTTAATTGATAACGCAAAACTTTAAAATACATAAAATCGATTTTGTTACTGTCTACCGCCAAAATAATTAAAATAATTTTATTTAAAAATACGTTTAAAATTGTGTGTCCGCTTTAGCGCTATATTGTCTTAAATTAGTTGTGCTACGATTTAATCGAAGGTTCCTCACGTATAGTTCCCTTATTGCAAAGCAGAGATATTTTTATTTTTGTAAAATTAGAGTGTCAATCTTGACGGTTGCCACCGTGTTATCAATTTTATCATTGTGCTTAATCATTACAAGTTATTTGTCGTGTTTTTCATTTCTCTCCTACTGTTGGAACATCGTCAACGACATTTTCGTTTTTATTTGATAAACACAAATGCGGAAGAAAACTTTGGCACGCAAATCAACGAGATAAGGTGATTTTACGTTTCCGGAGTAAATTCAGTTCATTAACACGTTTTAAACGTCAGCTTTTTTCTGGCCGACAGTAATAAATTTGACAAGTAATGTTTTTAGGGTTTAACATTATCTTAATCATATGAAATACTAGTTTAAAGATTACCGTGACACATTTCTCTCGTGTTTATAAAACATATTAAAAATGTTTGTTTCTTAACGATAGTTTTTGATGTGGTCGAAATAATAGGAACAGTTTAAGAGGATCTTTTCAACATTTTAATTGGTTATACCAAGTTCCGTACAACTTTGACATCGTTCCATTATATTACGTAAAATATTAGTAATAAATTCCTTTAACAAGTTCACCATCTTCGATAATTATATTGCTTTTTGCTGCAGTTAAATCGTTTTGGTTTTATTTGTGAACGTATTAAGTTAAAGTCATTCGATGTATCAAGGTTTATCTTTTCTTTTACTACCAGTCGTTATTAAAAATACCTTCATTGTCCACCTTGGGTGCGCCCTGTACATGGTATGTTTAGAGTATAGTTTTATTTATATTATAAGTATGAGATTTATTATAGCGGACTTGAAGTTAATGCACCATCATATATAATAATAAAAAATACAAGCTAAGTGGCGACGGTTAGATGAGACTAATTCTGGGAACGGGCATTTTTATGCATTTTTGTGATTAAGTGACTTTATTATCCAGCTGTAATAACGTTCTTTGTAGGCCGTATGAGAGTTATTTCAAAACGGAATGCATCACAAACAAATTGCATTAAATTTATTGGTTGTTAAGCTAAAAGCATTCATTTTATAAGGTTAAATCAGTAGCATATGATGTACTTTGCAATTGAGTGGGAGATTTTTGATTGTGACACGGCAATCATTATACTCGAAGAATTCTGTCTTTTTTTTTTTTGCTTCATTCTTTTTTCGTTTAAAAATTCTGTAAAATAATTAAAAGTTCTCGCGGGGAACAGTTTTCATTAGACATCATGTTTATATAATCGTCTTATTTATTTATATTTTCATATAGTTTACAAGAATAAAAACACGAAGAGTACATCGATGTACGACTGCATTGTGTGCCACCTAAATTTACTTTTGGCTGAGTTTCAACAATAATCGTGTTCGATATGACGGTGAAGTTACTTTATTGTGTGTACATTCAATATGGACTATTAAACAAGTTTTATATTCTGGAATATTTCACGTTCGATCATATAAATGTCATGGTTTTGTAATGTTTTTTTAAACATTTTTCTACTTTCAATTATTGTTCCGCAATGCTCTACTTGAGTTTAACATATAATGTAAAATAATTGTTGTACTTAACTACGCTCCAGTTATTCATTACAATTATATGTTAATTAAGTGAGCTTTTCATGAAATATTGCATTGGTCAGTTTGTAATACAATTATTCACCCGTAGATATGCACGTCGTATTTATACGGATTAAATCGTAGTTAAGTCATTAATTAATGCCTACACTGTTGAGCTATTGGGATTTGTGTTCAGATCGAAAGTCGGTCAAACAATGTACGCATATTGAGTTGTATGCAATGAGCGACTGTAGTTGTTGTTTAAAAAAAACTTGGCAAATTAAAAGTCTCATTGTTGATTATATCTTTGCATGCTGTTTACTTTATGCGACGCGTCCTTGCTCGCAGTGGTGCACTGAGATTGTTGATCAAAGTTACCAAGGAACCAGTACGGCCAAGAGTCTGGACTCTGTAGCACAAGATCCTACGGCAGCGTACCTAGTTTGTCTGGAGTATGCGACCTCGAAAAAGGAAAAGTGATTTTAATGACTGTATTGCAGAACTCATCTGCTTAGAATTTATCGAATTCATTCGTTAGTGACGGTATTAAAAAAATAAATGCTTGAATTACACAAGGCATTACGCGTATTTTTTTATTCGCTGTATAGTGCGCGGAATAAAAATCCGATTGCAAATGCGTTAGTGAAATGTGTAGATATTTATTGCATCCACGAGAATTTATTGTTATAAAATACAACAATTATACGATGAAACGTGGAATAGTCCTGAGAGATAATAAAAACATTACGTTACACTAACCAATAACGTTGAAACATATTGATATATTCACATTTGATGTTACACTCAAGTCTTAAAATTAAATTATAATTTTTTTTTAGTTACAGGGTAGTAAACAACTGCTTACTCCAAACAAGTGGATATAATTATTGGTCCAGCGTTGTTGACATGTCACTTCCGTAAATAAAACTGAATACTTTTTAAAAAAATTGAATAGATGTTGACTCTATGCGAGTCCAATGACGATGAATATAAAATAAATGTATTGTAATTTTGTATTGTTAAGTTAATTAAGAATTAAAAAAGCAATACAGCTTTATGGATAATACTTAAGTTCCATTGATTTTATAATGTATTATAATTTAATACCATTATAGTTATTGTTACAATACTATTTTGGTGAATAAACAAACATAGAAAATGTTATGTACTGGCAACTATGAATTGTGTTCACACGAGATCATTTCTTTTGGTCTTAATAATTTTTTTAACTCAGTCAAAGCTTTTTATTGTTTACAATAATTGTTTTTATTGCGCTCCAAACGTTGGACTAGTCGCATTATTTTTTTATTTATTGTAAGCTGAATGCTGCCAAAATATAATGATTTTAATAGAAAAGATCAAGAAGTTTGTTATACATGTAATGAATTTTAATTGACTAATGGTTATTNCAGTCAAAGCTTTTTATTGTTTACAATAATTGTTTTTATTGCGCTCCAAACGTTGGACTAGTCGCATTATTTTTTTTATTTATTGTAAGCTGAAAGCTGCCAAAATATAATGATTTTAATAGAAAAGATCAAGAAGTTTGTTATACATGTAATGAATTTTAATTGACTAATGGTTATTTAATGATTTATTATTAATATTGTTGTAACTTAGTAAATTTTATTGTTAAATACCGACTGATTTTTTTCTTGAAAAATGGTAATGCTTTTTTGGACTTAAGTATAAACACTAATATAGTGTCAGCTTAAGGTTTTTTTTATTGGTCTGTGTAAAATATTTTGCGTTTCATAACAAAATTTATGACTATTTTTTTAGGTGACGAGCAAAAAGAGTATATCTAGTTTTCATAATTATATATATATTATATCAGGTACTCATAATCATAAGTGTTTTTTTATGCTGTGACTTAGAGGGTTTTAAAATATTTTAATCACTTACATCTCAGAAGAGAAAGTTAATATTGTGTACTATTTTAATAATATAATATCTCGAGTACAGTATTTTATTTGAATATCTTTTAATATTCAAATTTTTGATACAGTTAATTTATATTGTAATTTTATCATAATATTATTCAAGTTCTTTAATAATTCATTTTACTTGCTAAGTTAATATTTGTGAAATTATAGAACTTTATTTTTTAATTATTTTCTAAATAACTATGTATCTAGGCCGATATTATTTTTTTTCAATATTTACTGACGATATCAAACCAATACATTTTTAAAACTTTGAATTTCAAATATAAAAGAATCTTTGGGAAAAATATCAATTTTTTATAAGTTATAAGTACTTTTCTTTTAAATTTTACTGGAATATAAATTAAAACGCACACTTATCGACAAATTTTAAAGAATGTAAACAAATTTAAAATTTAATTCCTAACATATTAGTGTCCCGCGTAATTAACTTTATTATAGGATCAGTGATAGTGATTAACATTATATAAAATTTTTGGATATAATTGTTTTTATGAGTGACAAAATAAATTGATTATGAATTGTAGTATACAGGTTCAAAAAATAAAGTAACAGGTCAATTGTTACTAACAATGAAAACAATAGAAATCCGTTTCCCTACTTACTGAACATTCTATAAATAGATTGTCAAATGATTTTCTTTTTTTATTCATATAGTACACTTAAAATTTTTTAATTTGATACAGATTTAAAAGATGCAGCACACATTCCTAAACATTCTCATAAATTGAAAGAAAAAACGTTCACAGCCTTTCTGCACTTTAGGTTGTTAATCTGACTATAATAAAAATAATATAACAAAAAAGATTATGTTTAAGTATTTTCTATTAAAATTTCATGTAAATCTAACTGTTTTACAATAATTGATTGCACTTCTAATAAGTAGAAAAAAAATTTGTTTTTAACCTTTTCAACGGCTGCCTTATATTAAAATATTTGTCTAAATAATTAAAATTGAAGAAAGGTTTTCATATAAATAAGTGAGAACTATCGTTATCGCAAATTGTAAAATAAGTTAGTATTAGTTTCAGACTGTGTTATCCTCAAAAAATACTTTAAAGGAGCATTAAAACGCCATCCATATTGGACAGTGATTTTGGGATGAAATAGGTACAAGAATCAAATGATGGAATTGAGTAAAGTTAAAAAAAGGTTAAATTAATAGTCACGTCAATAAAGCCTCAAATAATGCATTTGTTAATAATAACACAACAGTTTTATAAAAATAAATAAGGATAAACTAAGCCTACAGTATAGATACAACCTCAAATCTGTAACTATCGTTTTAACGTTGAACACTGCGACATATCAATTATATATATACAATTGTATATAAGATATATCTGAAAATATTCAATGTAAATAAAGCATCGTTTTATAAATTAACATATTTTGCAATTTGTATAATCATTAAATTTTTTCCCTATATTATAGAATTTTTAATTGATATAATGGTTATTAATCTATTTTTTTCTATAATATGGCTGTAAAAATTTACTCTTAAGAAAGTGGAACAGATCTAACTAATAATTCTTGTAATTTTGAATACAATCAAAACTATTAAAAAATTTTAAATCCTAATTATATGCCATATCTATATTTAGATTATAATTCTATAAGCTTTACAACATGCTAATGTTGTAATCTTTATGGACACCCCTTATAGCATGTTATAAGAGGTGAAGATTATACAAAAAAAAAATAATAATTTGGTAATAATTATTGTTTCACTCGTTTTCATTTAATTATACTATTAATATAATAATTTATTATTTTTATATATTATTTAAATTTTATTACATTATTTATTATTATTTAACACGTTTTAAAGTTATCTGACATATATTTTTTGTATAGGTTAAAAAAATATGATTGCTTTATTATTTACCACGAATTTCTTTTTTTGCTTATAACGTAAAATTAAAATTACTCTGGTAAATACAAACATAAAGTATACTCCATATACTAAAACATATTTTATATAAAATATATTTTAACCATAATTATAGTTTTTTGTAGTGTATACAAAATTAAAAAAAATATTTACTTACACAAAAGCATTTTTTAACTTCGATGCAAAGATGAAAAGGTATTGGTTTGTAATGGTGTGCTTATTTTTTTATGTTTGTTCATGAAATTTTTTAACTCTCATTAAATCGATTTTGTTCGTCTACGATTCAAAAAAAACTATTTTAATCTAGTTAAATCTATCGTTGCCAAAAATTAAAAAAAAACCTTTCAATTTTAAAAAATTATGCTTTCGTAAAAAGGCATTTTATCCTTAATGAAATTTTAATAAAGTATACCAGAGATTATGTGCATTTAATATTTCAGTGAATTTTTAAAACATAGCAAAATTTGTAAAATTACAAATATACAAATACAATATAATACACTGCAACAGTAAACTGAATAATTAATCAAAGGGATTTTTATCAATAATGATATAATAATATTTCTGGACATTTGTTATCATATATTTATTTTTTAAAACTTGTTGTATGTTATAAAAGTAAAATCACATCTTTTATTATAATGTAAAATTTGTTTTTTGATCATCTTGATAACCTTGCAAAAACTGAGACTTGTTCTGTTGCAATAACAAAATTATTGTACAATTTAAAAAAAACATCAGTGTTTTTTATGATTAATTACTGTTTATTATCTATAATAGTCCCAAATATGTCATTTTCCCATTGTGCTTGGTTTTTAACTCAAAATGGAAAAATTATACATGTCTATATTATACAGATATATATATATATATATAATATTTATTAATTTTTGAGGGGGAATACGTGGAGGTCTAAACCTCCTTCCTAACAGCTCCTATGAGTGGTAGGAAAGAGCAAATTTTATGTTGCCTCCGGTATCTATTTTTCAAGTATAATATCACAGAGGATAAGTATGTCTTCATATTTTGACTTTTAATCTAATTTGTCTGTCGAATAACACAAGATAATCTTAGAATGAACTTCAATCTGATCAATTGTTATTTAGTGTAACATTAAAGTGCACTACCAAATAAACTTTTAGTATTAATAATTTTAATCTGTCCAGTAAAGTCATTTACTGAATATTCTTGTGATAATAGAAAAATTACTATTAATAGACGTATAAAACTTGCGGATTTTTTTCTTATGTACATTCATCATTTGTTATGTTAAACAACATTAAATATTTTAGATTTAATCGTAAGGGTTTTTCTATATAAAAAACAAACCATTGGATAATTCTGTTTAGCTGAAATTTATAGGATTAACGGCGAAAATGTATTATCAAAAATGCACTACATTCGAGAATGCAACGGTAGACAGACGGTCGGCGACAGGCAACTGGAAGGCCAGGTGAACCGGTGGTAAGGCGCTATTAAGCGTGGGAGGGGATTACATTTGTGGGGACTCCCGTGTTAAAAAATTACTCTACACGCGTATAGTACGGCCGGCGATGTTGCGCTCATCGGATACGTGTTTTATGAAGTGTGTGTGTTTCGGCTTTAGTTCGTACGGTGGCGTGTAAAATCATTCGAAAAGCGCACGTGTAAATTCGTCGTCACTGCCACCGTTTTTTTTTTTTCATAACATATTTAGTATTGTGAAACTTTTTATATTTTCCGTAACTTTACGAACTTGTGAAGTTGACGAAAAGTTTGCTTTCATTCACCTAGTATTCATAACTGAAAATGACTGGCCAAAATTGAGTCTGGGATTTTTAACACCTGTTGAATAATCCAAAAAGGTAATATTTTGAATTTAACATTAATTTATTTTAATTTTAATATTTACTGAGACTATCAGTATAAATAGTATCACAATAAATGTTATTTAATAATTATTATTGTGTGTTTAAATAGCTAAATTATTGAATTCATGCATTCATATTTCACAGCAGATAAAATGAATTACATTGAATCAATATTAATATTAAAGATTTTGGATAATATATTTTTGAAAATTGGTATAGTTGCATAAATAAAATAATCTAGAGTAACAATAATCTCCGAGTTACACACCAAATTGAAAATGAAAAAATAAAAAATTGTCCTTATTAAATTATTAGTAATTATCAATATACGTAATCAGTCAAATAAAAAAAAATTAATTATATTCATATACAATTAATACAATTAAAATTATATATATATATATATTTTCAACTTTTTTTAATATAAATCCGATAAATGGACTTATGAAAAAAATGATATAACTTGAAAAAAAAATAAAATATTTAGATACCAATATAATTAAAAAACCTTTTTCTTCGTATAATTTTTAAGGAGGGAAGAATTCAATACAAAATTTTATAGACGTTATGTTTTAAAATTAAGTAACAATTGCAAAACATTTTATTGAGTTTTTACATTTATTTCAAATGAGGATAACTGTTCCTACTAATGTCTCCATGGATACTAGAGAATTTTTCTGCACGAAAACGTGACTTATTACTTTTATTACACTTTTCCTAGCTAATTTCTGTCGTTAAAGATATGTTATTGACCTCGCAGATAAATACTCATAAAGTCATATATCGCAAGATTATCTTCATAGCGGTAATTTTTATGAAAATAACCCATTAGTAAAACTAAAAAAATGTTAAACGTACTTTTATGAAAAAATTGCATCGTTCTCCAGACTGTTATTCTATCATAAATTACATCATGGTACATTAACTGTGATTTAATGATGGAAAACAGCATAAGTGTTATTAATTTTTTTCTTGTTATTATTTTGCATTAATACATGCTTAGTTCTACACAAAAAGCTATCTCCTCAAAATTATTGTTTATTTTAATTTAACAAATCATGATAGATACAATAAATGAAATATGCCGAAAAACTAAATATAATTTGATTTATATAAATATATATTAAATATAAATTTAATTTTTTTATTTTGAGAGGCGTTAATAATCAAAAACAGCCCTTGATTTGCTCTTATGCAAATTATACATTATTTTAAAAAGGGAATTATCCTAAACTGATGTAAATGGCTTATAATAAATCTATCTTAGGCTGTATAAATTGACTTTAAACTATAATTATATGCTTGTAAACATTTTCTTTGTAAATACGGACATATATTATCAGTAACTAACTGCCAAATTATTTTTTTTAAATATGTCAATACATGAATTACTCTTACCATCAATCAGTGTGAATAATAGTTGACAATTTACTCTATTAAAATGTTGGTTAAAATGTCTAAAATTTATCATATTCTCGTAGTTTAATATTAATCATTATCACAAATATTTTTTTTTTTTAATTTTCCAAGTTAAACATTTATTATGTATAACATATTTATATCCTATATATATTAATAAAATTTTTCCGTGAATTTTTCTGGTTTTTATAATTACTGTTACAGTATGAGTCACTCGTGTTTAAAAATCATTATCAATTATGTTTTATTCTAGTTCTTGTAGTAATGGTATTATGTTGTCCTATAAAAATGTTCAAAGATGTTTAGCGGGCACACTTCAAAGTTCATTTTATTTTTATTGTTCTCGATTACTCGGAAACGGCATACTAATAGAAGAAAGACATTGTTTTTTATCCTCTTTTTTACGAACTCAAGCGCCGTGTAGCTATAACTCGTGCGATGATCATCGTGTCGTCATCATAGGTAATCTTTTATTCTCACGGTAGTGCGTTTGAATAGTGTAATTATCTAATAGTAGCCATTTACGTTTTATTGTCGCCGCTAACGCAGTCTTACTATGTGGTTATTTTCCATGCTGTGAGTAATGTACGGAACACTACCTGCTTCATGTCGGGCAATGTCAAAAGAAATATGAGGAAAAAGTCTTATGACAATTACCCGGCAATAACATAATTATAACATACAACGACAACATGGTCATTATAGTATTAAAAAGGTTATGAATCGGACGGGGTTGAAGAATTTGATCAAAAACTACATTAGAGGGGTGCGGCTGGGATATTAAGAGTTACGTGCATGCGATTGCGGATGTCTTGTGTGGTCTTATGAATTTCAGTGAATCAATCGATGCATCAAACGCGTTCCGACTGGAAGTACTTATTGGAAATAGATAAGATCAAGTAGTCGATGTCCGATCAACGGATGTACTTTTATCGTGTACTACACGTTTATACGAATATTATGTTTTATATGATATTTCTGGTTATGTAAAACTGCCTGAACATTTAGGAGTATATTACTCTAGTTTACGAAAAACGTTATTTTAATTATAGGCTCTATATTCATTTTTTACCGCCATTTCGATAATACGTTTCGCCGACACATAAGATTCTATCACCCGTTAAATAACCATGAACTATTCTTAAAGCATACGTTAAGGTGTAACCGAAAGTACCATAATTCATTGTAAATACTCAATAGCATCGAATGTGACCTTAAGAACACGTAAGACTACACAATAGTTGAAAACTATTTTATAGAGACGTTTGTATTCAAGTAGTAGCTACAAGTAATTGAAGTAAAATAATTCAAACATTAGACAATGACAATAGAAATAAAATCAATATTGTTATTGTCCAATGTAATTTATGTTGTGATCGGGTGCATATAAATTTATTTTTAATTATTTTTAACACTTTGGCCGAGTATCACTGCCAAATCAATATTATATTTATTCCGCGTACAATTCTAATCGGTACACATTTTGAACTTGAGGTACTTTTCACAGTAAGTTTCTGAATTTGAATACTCGAGGTGTGGTCGAAGGCCGCAATAGTTATTGGAGATTTTAGTTTCTGCTTGAAGAGATGAACTAAGCGGCATATTATGGATTTAATTGTGCATATTCAGTATTCATGTATGCTGTGTCGTATTTAAATTAACATGGTCATACAACTTGTTAGTACTCAAGTATAAAACGTGTAGGATAGCCCGTCGTAATATTATTTCAGAACTAACATAACAATTTAGATGGACGACGTGTAATTTTTATGTGCTCAGAATATAGAAAGTGTCATTTGCATTTCGCTAAGAGCGATGAATAAATTGTTGTATAAATATAGTGTTCGATGTGAGGAAGACAAAAATGATGACAAATACAATGATAAGAATCATGTTACGTTTACTTAAATGACATTGGTAATTAAATAGCAATAAGCGGTTAAACATGTAATTAAATGGTGACAAAAATGTGATAGATATCTTTCATAATTGCTTATTTTAAGCTCATGCAGATTTTTGAAATCCATACCAACTATAAAGTGTTTAACTGAAATTCTTCGGCTATTAATTTATCTCGATTGATATAATTATTTCTATATTCAGTTTATGTACAAATATTCTGTTTGCTCAACGAGTCAGTTTAAATAACTTGAAAGAAATTCCAGGAAATTGAATCAATGACTCATAAAAAAATACATTCAATTTTGAATGAATAAATCACTGTAAAATAATATTGTGGTGATTCAAAATGATCAATTTAGCCTCCTTGATAATGAATTATTAATTATTCAATTTATTGCTGAATTCAGTATTTTGACTTGCATTAAAATAATATTTATTATACAAAGTGAATTTTTAACTATGAATCACGCGATATTTTTAAGGTATGTAATATAATACTATTTTTTCTCTTCAGAAGTTATAGTATCCTACGTTTTATAATTTCCAGAAAATAATTTGGTTATATCTCTCCTATTTTATCCTTAAATATTTATCGACTTTAGTTGTTTAAATGAAGTTTTATATGTTTAGTCAACATACATACTAGAATATAATATATCTAAAAAAATGACTGGCGTATAACAACTTTTGGACTAGTGTTTTTAAAAGATATTAATATTTCAATAAAAAAGCGAGTGGAGCAGTGCAGTTAATTAATGCCCTGAGATTTAAATAAATAAACCCCCGCTTCACTTCCAGTCTTTGTATTAAGAAGCTAATAACTTACAGAATACTAAGTTATTAACGACCGGTGATTTTCTTAGATAAATCGTTTTCTTATTGGTTAAACATAACATTTTTACTACTTTTTCATATTTTCTTATCCAGTCGAGTATCATATATCTGCTATGTTTACACTTGCATTCTATTACAAAATGCGCGGTATATCATTGTGGTTTGTTTTCATTGATGTCATTATCAGGTGCGGCTATTTTATGAATTGGCTGTGGTCACGGATGACATACAAATGGACACATTACATGTTGGACACGGTTGTGTGTGGATACGTCATGTGCTATGACGTCACAGAAACGATACGAGCGGATGAAAAGGCGTTTCCGTCAATTTTTCTCGTTTAAAAACTCATTCCGATTCCAATTACTATTAATTCATACCAAAATAAAAATTAAGCATTTCGAATAGATTAATCGTTGAAGTTTTCAATTATTACGATACCTAATTTCTAAATTGATTTACGACAAAAGAGGATTGAGTGTTTTAGACTACAGCCAAAAGTCTGATTAAAGATCGTAAACAACCTAATCGAACACGATTCAATATTATAGTTTTCAACGAAAAATACAAAATAATATCGTAATGTTGTGGGATATGTATAATTTTCTAATATTAATTCGATTCGATAATTTGTTATGTTTTTAAATAGTAATTACTGAAACGGTAACTTCTTCAATTATTCTCTTTGTTTTTGTTGGGTTCGACGAAACGTCACGATTTCCCATCAATATTATAAATAAGTGGTTGTTGATCTTAACAAGACCGGATTATTGGTAGTGGCGGTGACGGAACCACTTGTAAATCGTATACTAAGTAGTAGTAGGAGTAGTGCACGGCAT